CTGTCTATGCAGGTTGTGATGACCTGGTCAGCGCAGTGTTTGACCTGGGAAAAGGACTCAGTCGTCTACAGCTCTCTGACGAAGAGATGGCTTTGTTCAGTGCTGCCGTGCTGCTATCTCCTGGTAAATATTATTTTTCCATTCATCTCTTTCTATATGTTATTTTATTGGAAAATCATCATAGATACATTTATGTATGCAGCAATGTGTAGTGTGAAGATAGGGCTAATTTAACTTATTATCAAACTAAATCAAGTGTTTTACATGTTTGGGGAATTGTGTAGGAATATTTACAATTTTTACAATTTCCATTTGATTGAGTTGTCATATTGTGCTTACACAGAACACAGATTGCCTGACAATGTGGATTAAGGCTACTAAAGGAGAACATAACTGTATGTTAATGGTTGCCTATTTTCTTTTCTGCAGATCGACCCTGGCTAACAGAAGGCCAAAAGGTTCAGAAACTCCAGGAGAAGGTCTACCTGGCTCTGCAGCACAGTCTACACAAGAGTGGGGCTTTTGAGGAGAAACTGGACAAGGTAAAGACAAGCAGTTTCAATTATTCTCAAACACATACAAATGTACGCACATGAAGACACACGTACAGTAACTTACCTTTGTATATCTTCTGTCCCCACAGATGGTGTCCAAGCTGCCCATAATGAAGTCAATCTGTAACCTCCATGCGGATAAACTGGAATTTTTCCGCTTGGTCCACCCGGAAACCGCCTTCAGTTTTCCACCACTGTACCGGGAAGTGTTTGGCAGCGATATGACTCTGCCTGACTCCACCAACAGCTAGACAGAAAAAACAGGAGAGATGTAGAGAGTGTATTAAGAGGTAGGGAAATGGAAAAAGGAGGGACAGAGAAGGATAAAGAAAGCTCAGCAACCAGCAGTTTAGAGACAATCCAGGACTAAATACTCCGTCTCCCATGATCCCAAAGTAGTCCTCCACTTTCCCAGCAGGCAAAGCACCTTACACTACAGACCACACATGCTTATGGTCTCTGCATATTGTAGCATTAACAACAAGCGGATGGGCATCGTAATAATAAAAGCCCATAAAGCATGATACAGCTCCAAGCTCTCAGACACTTATTTAACATCAGATCCACTGTGGATCACCTAACCTTTTATGAATGTACCTCATCAATAAGCACCAGTGCACAGAGTAAGAACCCAACAACAGTGAATGTACAACCCTGCCACTTTAATGCAGGGTTGTACACAAGGTATGAGTCGTGTTGATCCATAGGTCTCACTAATATTACATCTCTGTCAATATGGTGTGCCTGCGTATTCTTAGACAATATCCTTATACTGACCATCACTTAGGGACCAAGATCATGACTCTTTTTGTATGATATAAAAAGAAACACACAGATATGATTCACGGCTCAGGCTGATCTCTTTTAATCATCAGCTTCACACACACATGTAGACAGTGCTGCCTTTTTGTAGGCTCATGTAATGCAATGAGAAACCTCAATCCCACTCACCCCTTTCCTTGTAAATGCCACTTAGAGACAGGAAAAGATGAAATTATCTTTAATTTATATACACATTTATAACAAATATTTTAAATGAGATGTAAATAGATGACTATATAAGTATATTGAGAGATTTGGAATGTGTGAGTTCAGTTTAGAGAGAAAGATGCTTAGTAAGACGAAGAAGAGAGAAAATGGATATTTCAGGAAAGCCGATATACGGTCTCAAATCGTTTTCCGGACTTCTTATGTTCCTGACAGTGATCTCAGGTTTCCATAGCAACAATCCCCTCTTGCCCTGACGGCGAAATCCAGCTGGGTCATCATGTAAGGAAAGGGGTGGACATTTGTGGACATTTGTGGCAAATGCAACACAGCAGGGGGGGCAAACAAAGGTGAATAAAATCATTGCCTTTGTCTTTCTGCCCTGCCTGAAGAGACAACAGGACAAGCAAGGACACTAAGGACAAGGCAAAAGATGACTTTACAAACTGTATAATAAAATGGGATACACAGGGTCTGCTCAGCTGTTTCTAACCAGCAGTCAGTACAGTCGGTGTAGTATAATTGTCTTTCACTCATCCATAAAATGTATCATAAACCATCCTTGCTGGTTGGAGCAACTGTAGTATTTTGTACATTTGCTGTTCCTCTCACTTTGTCCCTATCCCAACACTTGTCCAAACACCAAGCACTTACACTTTTCCCCTTTCTCACTGGACACTAATCTAAGGCCAGACAGAGCTAACAGCTGCCCCCTTGAAGATTTCATTATTTTTAGCCAATCTGTTTTATCGTATCGGTCATATATGGTCCCCCAAGTGTTTCCATTTTTCACGTACATAAATAACACGCTCTCTGAAAGTTGTTATGGATGATGATGATGATGTCTTACTCGGGGTGATGTGAAATTCTTGAGCAGAGTCTGAGGACCTGCCGCTCAGGTCGCTAGCTGTGGTCTCTAGCTGTCGCTTTATTACCAGTGTTGTCTTTTAGCCTTGATATCCTCACACCTTTGCACCTAAGATGAGACCCTTAACCCTAATCACTGTGGATGTAAATTCTATTTTTGTGAATGTTGCTCACAAAGCCTTTCCCTTTTATCCTAATATTGTGAAATCAAATTTACAAAACATAGGAGTAAACAAGAACCCTGCAAATAAATATGTAACTTTAAGATTAATTGATTATTTGGGTTTAATTGTCCTTTTTGCTGTGATTTTCAGTTATTTGACAGTCTTTTATTCACCGTTTTTATCTGTCTCCATTTTTCGTCTTGCAAAGTCTGTGATCAATTGTTTTGGAGAAAGTCACAAACAAAAAATAGTCGTTTGTCTCCCTTTTCTTTGCCTGTATGACAACATGTACAAGAGGTATATTACTAGTCACAAAGTAACTGAGTTACTCAGCTTGATATATATTGTTGTCCAATGGGATACATTATATGTGGTTTTAAGAAAGTAATAAATGTTTTTTTTTCTTTTGAAAATGTGTCATTAAGTCTTATTTGACTTTGATTGTCGATTTGCATGTTTGACAGGACTTGCATACTGTTGAGTTATCAGTCTAATCAGTCTTCAATCAATGATCTCATTTTATGTAAATGACCATGATTTGAATCACAGATTAGCATTTGTAAAGTATACACACTGTATTCATTACATGCCATAACCTTACAAATGCAACATTAAGTTAATTATTCAATTGACAAAAAAATGATCTCCAATGTTTCTTTTAAAATATTGATCATTGTAATAATGTATTGTTATTAAAATAAACCATGATCTGGTTGCAACTTTTCCAATATGATAATTGTATGCATTTCTCCATATCACAAATTAAATATAATTGAACCTGAGGTACAAGTTTACCTTGTAAACAGTAGCTATAATAAGATGTAACCAAAGTCTTTAAAAACAGGCTTCCTCCAGAGCTTTTCGGGAGCAACCAGCTATTAAATTCTTCCTTGATGGAGGTTTTTTCTCTCACAAACTTAAAACAATTTAGCTATGGCTCTGTGAAATTCTGATCGGTTTTTTTCCCCCTAATTTATGACATTTTCTGAACCAGATGATTAATCGAGAAAACCTTGATCAAACTGATTGATTAAGAAAAAGATCATTAGTTGCAAACCTAGATGAACTTAATAACTAACACTACATTTTATAAAAATCTTAGTTTACTATTAGTTTACTTAGTTACTACTGTGTGTGTGTGTGTGTGTGTGTGTGTGTGTGTGTGTGTGTGGTGTGTGTGTGTGTGTGTGTGTGTGTGTGTGTGTGTGTGTGTGTGTGTGTGTGTGTGTGTGTGTGTGTGTGTGTGTGTGTGTGTGTGTGTGTGTGTGTGTGTGTGTGTGTGTGTGTGTGTGTGTGTGTGTGTGTGTGTGTGATGGGCCATTCTACCGAATTGGACCAAAGTCAGGTTGGAAATGTTTTGAGATTTTGTATGTTTTTTTCCAAAAACGTTGTCCATATATATTTTGTACCATATCTAAATTACACATATCTTGTAAAAGAACCGTACATTTTTACATCGTATTTTCAGACTGTATTGGAATGTTCTTCCTCTACCAAAAATGGTCACTACCGAAACATAGTAAATACGCTGTAGTGAAAGTATTATTAACCTGTTACGATTGTTTTACCTTCCCTTCTCTAAACAATTAAATCAATGAAATTTAATTTGTTATCAAATTTCAAAGTTCAATTTATACAATTCATAAAAATCATAATGCAAACTTTCTTTCTAAAAATGCATAATACTGATCATATTGATTCCAGAGTTGATGATTGTTGAAATTGAACATACATTAAACCAATCAGTATCATATCATTTTAGTTGATTAGTCAATATATTTTAATTATTTACAAAACATCCAGTGTTTCGGTAGTGACCACAGTATTTTGTTCTCAAGGTTGTATCATATTCCCTCAACCTTATTGCTTAATCTTAACTCATAACTTGCCTTATGTTGAAGTGTGAATGTTTGAAGCTACTGACCCAGAATCAGCACTTTAGTAACAGGCTGAAATAGAGGGGAATGAGGCTAGAATGGGTGATCTGTTCGGTATTTTGAGCAAAACACTTCAGACATGTGTTTTATATATATCTGAGACCTATAATATATGCCTAACAATAGTATAATAAGAGACCTTAAAAGTAACACACTGATTTTCAAACTTTAAAACACTTTTATTTCAAAACTATGGGATTTACCTGCTGTGTTATTTAAAGAAATTGAAATTTAGATGTCAGGGTTGGGGACAGCTACTTCCCAATAGAAAGTACCCTATAAGATGTTTTTGTATATATTAAGCTTATCACGATCTAATTGAATGCCTTGTGTTTAAATATACCATAACATATTCTTAGTAAATATCTCTATGTCTGAATACTTAATTGTTTTGTTACATCGTTTTTCTTGTTGTGGGACCGCACTTTGTACTAATTCGGTAGAATGCCCCATATATGTGTGGATATGTGTGTGTTGACCATAGACTGTAGGCCTATATGTGTTGACCCATTTTATCCACCAGGACGGATCCTCCCACATGAAGCTTGGCCAGGAAATTGTGGTTGCCTAGCAAGTTTCACTTCCACGGTGCAAAGTTTGAAGACGTGTAGCTCGGCTGCTTTCTGGATCCTGTAAAGTACAAACTCACAGAAAATATTACTTCCCCGGCTAGGTCCAGGTGACAACACTGACGGTGCAAGATGTCCGTCGCGGGATTTAAGAAGCAATTTTACAAAGCGAGCCAGGTAAAAGGGCGATTTTTTTTTTTTAAAAACAAACATTAACTGGTAGCTAAGCTAACGATAGCTAACTGTCGTTACTTTTATGTAATTGGCAGGCCTACTTGGTAAAATATGATTTATTTGCTTTTGGATTTATATACGTAACCTTTATAAAACGGTTTAACTCGTGGACTCGTATACTTCTAGTTATATTGTTATTAAACTCTTCAACAACTGTCAAATGTGTTTTTGCTCACAGGTTACGTCAACGTTAACTCTTAACGTATGTCAATGTAACGTTAGAGCGATAAGACTTTGACGTTTGTAACGTAAAGTTAGCTAGTTACCTTAACACTGACTGATACTAACGTTAAAAATGCATTTTTGTAGTTTGCTTAATTTGTCGTTGTTCTGCCCTAACGTATTGTAACGATAATGAAGCAATACTTTTGTAGAGCGTTGCATAACGTTAAACATGGTAAACTTAATCAACTTTAATAGTTGATAAACGAGTTTCAAGCCACATTTAGTCCAACTTTTAGTATTTCTCCCGTATCCAACGTTTAAGTATGCCTACAGGCTAATGCTATGACCGACTAAAATAAATCGGGCATTGAAAGGATGAGTCTCTGCTCTGAGGAAGATACTTTTTATGATTGTTGGTGGATTCATCGTGTTTTTTATTTAGTTTGGGTTGGTTTACCAGTATCTTTGTCACTTAAATTGTAATACCTCAAAGTAATGTTCATGTTTGCTATCTCTTGGATTACATCATGTTTTCAAAAACACATGACAAAATACTCAATTTGTTGTGGTGATATTATGGCTCAAATCTCACAACACGTGTTTCTGTCATCACTCAGTTTAAGTGTCCCCTATGTTTCCAACAATAGAACTGAGCTGACATTTGAGCCATGTTTAATCTCATGACATAAGCCTTTATATTGAGATTTTTTTTCATGTATATTTATTTATCTTTACATTTATTTTATTCGGATTTATCAAAGAAAAGGCATAACATAGTCAATTATTCATCTCTAACATAAAACAGATCCATAAAGTCATGCAGGCACAGGGATTATTTGCTATCATCTAAATGCCATACTTTTTTCTCATTTGCAATATGAACCTTACAGTTTCCATGTGCTCACACATGACAAACTGAAAGCAAAAGTCAACACTGACATCAGGCCAATTAAACTAAGAGAAGCAAGTCAAATGTATTAAAATGGGAGTGACATGCCAAACGTCTGACTGCCTCCATGATGTGTACAGACGTTCACAGTAGTCTGATCATCTTGTAGTAATTGATCTGGGTTTCCTTGTGCGTTCAACATGGAAGTATATATGGAATATTGTAGTTTTTATATTTGATGTTGTAATTTATTGTCTTCTGTTTACATCGGTAGGAATGTGTTATTTATTATCTGCATGTGCAGCACTTTGGCTCGACCGAAAATCGTTTTTAAATGTGCTATAGAAATAACATTTGATTTGATTTGAAGTTGCACTCATCCTACCTGTTCAAAAAATATAACTGTTGGCTCTCAAGACAGTTAAACTATAAACACACCACTACAAACATGAAGCTCAATGACACATAGCCTGCAAAACCGGTGGCCTATGTTTTGATGACACTTGCCTTGCAACAGGTCCTTGCTTTGGCATTATGTGACTGGTTGGTGACACCTCCTAACTCAATGGGTGTGTAATGGAATCTTAGTTATCTGAATACTCTGCCTAAACCAGCTTCCAGTAGAAACCAACTTTAGTCATTATGCTAACTAGACAGATGTCATTCAAATAAACAGGGTCTTATAACGGGGTGGAGGAGTATAATCCATTCTGTAAATTAGTTGCCTTAGTTACTCCAAGTCATACCACCATAAACAAAACTGGATTTTATAAATAATTTTATATAATCTTCTGCTAAATAGCCAACCAAACATATAAAGCTGACATTGTTGTACACATGGTGCTTGCACCTGCTGTTTCCTAATGTTCTGCATCATGTTATAGATAGATAGATAGATAGATAGATAGATAGACACTTTATTGATCCCAATTTGGGAAATGATTTCGTTACAGAAGCAGCAGTGTGTTCAGACATTTAAAATACAAATAGTTTTAAAAAAAAAGTGGAATAGAGATGTTAGTTTCTTTTGTGTTTTGCTTTTGTCAACAAGAGACAAGACTAAACGCAAATGCTTTTTATTAAATGGGTTTCATTTGTTTAACCCCTCTCCTAAAACTACAATCGAAACACAAGTTTTTCAAGATAGATTACATTGCATAGTAAGACCAGGATCGGAAGGCAGGTTTATTAGTCATGGAGGACAAAATCCTGTGCTGGCAATTATAAAGCCAGATGGGTTGCTGAAAGTCTGTTTCTACATGGCACAAATTAACATCTGGGACCAAGAGATTCATTCATTGCAATTAAAATGCTGTTTATTAGACTTCATCATTTGGGAACATGTGGGGCTGAATTATTGCCCATGAATCAATTGGGAATCAGTGCTTTGGGCTTTTTAAGAACCACTGACTGATTCCTACAAAATAACTTTACCAAGCCTGTGCATTGTATAAACTGAAGAGATAGATTGATCCATCTGGTCATAGTCTTGTGTGCAGTATGGTGCCGATAGATGCACAAAGTTGAACCAAATTCGAAAACACACAATGAGTCTCTGTTTTGCCTGCCAGCCAACTGCACTGGATTTTAAGGTTTGTTGCTCTGAGGGAGAAATAGAGTGCCTTGTGTGAGTCAGGATATGAATTGAGAGGAAGATAAATGTATGGTGTGTGTTTAGTAAAAGCATCTATGGATGTGGTTGTAGTGTAGGAAACTGCAATGTGTGTGCTTACCTGATTGGGCAACAAGTGAAAACCCTTAGCAGAATTCTTTATGGAACGCAGATTCCCAGTAGAGAGGAGTTGAGGTTCCTCCGTTAACGGAAAACATGGGTATGGCTTGGAATTTGAGAACTGTGTTAACCAGGCCTGGAAAGGATCTATTCAATATCCCCTAAAACCCTGGCACCCCTCTGTGACCCTTAGGGGCCCTTAGTGTTCATATCTGTCAAAATATACTATGGCCTTCATACTTTATCATCGTTGTTAAAACAAACAGTAAATGACAGAAAATATTTAGATATCTGTTCTTATCCTTCATCAGCTCAATGATGTTATGTTCTGTAATTGGCGTTCCAATAGGAAATGCAGTGAAAGATGGTAATATATTAACAATATTGTAATGTGTATTAAAAAATATGAAACAATATTTTTACCGTACACAATAAGGAAAGTATTCATGTCTTTTGAATCTCTGTTTTCACAGCTGGTGAGTGAGAAGGTTGGAGGTGCAGAGGGAACCAAACTGGATGAAGACTTCAGGGACCTCGAGAGGGTAACTTACATACATTTAAAAAAATATCTTTAAGAAACATGTAGAATAACTATATTTTCTTTTGTTTTACTAAAAGTTGTGTCGCAAATTCACAAGGGCATACATCTGGGCATATAGATTATTGTCTGTCTCTATCCTGTACCACCAGAAATCCGATGTTACCAGCAAAGCTGTGATTGAAGTCATCAATAAAACAACAGAGTACCTCCAGCCCAACCCCGCAACAAGAGCTAAGCTTACCATGCTCAACACGGTGTCCAAAATGCGCGGGCAGGTCAAGAGTCCAGGATACCCCCAGCCTGAGGGCCTCCTGGGGGAGTGCATGACTAAGTATGGACGGGACATGGGCGAAGACACCAACTTTGGTAAGAACAGAGGCAGTTAGAGGATGAGATATAGGGTGGACACAATATGTATGTTATGGTGTATGTTCGTTCAGGGTTTGACCATTAATCTGTTTAGTATAGTGCCAATGATTATTATTAATGTGCTTCTCTCAATAATGCCTGTGTGTGTGAACGTACAGGTGGAGCTCTAGTAGACATTGGGGAGTCAATGAAGAGGATGGCCGAGGTCAAAGACTCTCTGGATATTGATGTGAAACAGAACTTCCTTGACCCGCTACAGGCAGTCGCTGAGAAGGATATCAAAGACATTCAGGTAGAGTCTAAGATTTGGTATGCTTCCTGTACAGGCCAGGCAGTGAACAATAAGCTCTGCAGTCTGCAATAGTCAAACAAATATTTACTGTCCTGGTACATAAGGGTTTAATTAAATTCACATGTTTAAATCATGCAATTTGATCATGAAAATACTTGGATCTTCATGTGATACTTCATCCTCCCAATCCCAACTCTTTCCGCCCCTCAGCACCACCTGAAGAAGCTCGAGGGCCGCCGTCTCGACTATGATTATAAAAAGAAACGTCAAGGTAGAATCCCAGATGAAGAGCTCAGGGTGGCTCTGGAGAAGTTCCACGAGTCCAAAGAGATGGCAGAAGGCTCCATGCACAACCTGCTGGAAACAGATGTGAGTAACGCAGACACTGACCTTTGTTACAATGCAGACAGCACATTAAAAGCTACTCGAGTTGTTTATACAATTATGCAAACACTACAATAACCTGGTTTATAAAGTAGGCAAAGAAAACATGACCAGTGTCAGTAATCCATAATAGATTTAGTTAAAAACTGTTTGTTATTTTGTCCATTGAGTACTTGCTATAATATACATTCTGGCTCCATGCTTTATTCCTACAGCCTCTCAGCTAGCAAACCATGTGTTACTTCTTTTTAAGAACAGTGTGTCAGGTGACATGTGTTGTTCTTTTCCACAGTGACTTGCAGAAGTTTGAGCTTGTCAAACTGGTTTTGCTTAGTGTTTACCATTTTAACACATTCTATGATGAGATTGACAAGAGGGAAGTAATTCTGATAAACAACAGCTGTAATGACAAACAAATAGAATAATGAGAGAATAGAAACGGCTAATGTGTAAGAACTGTTTTTAAGGACCACTGCTGTTTGTGTGTTAGGCCTTGTTCTACAATAGATTGTGTCTGCTTGTAGGTGGAGCAGGTGAGTCAGCTGTCTTCTTTTGTGGAGTCTCTGCTGCAGTACCACAAACAGGCGGCGCAGGTCCTCGAGGAGCTTTCTGACAAGCTGAGAGAAAGGTCAGTGGCGTGACTATTTGAACAGTACATCATGCCTTATGTATGTCGAGGCCGTGTCCTCTGGCTTGAAGATTCAGGACCATTTAATGTGAAATAAAAATGAATAAAAGCAGTTAATGTTACTGATGAATTATTATTGACTTTTCCCTTATTACAGAAATGAAAAACGATCTTTACTAAATAATAAATAGAGTAGATTTGTTTTGATTCTGCTAATTTACTATCTGTATTGGTGATGTGTTTTCTTTCTGATTGTGTGCAGGGTGACTGACGCTCAGGCTCGACCAAGGCGCGAATACGCACCCAAACCCAGACCAGTGTATGACTATGGAGAGGTGGAGAACTCTAACGGAGCATACACACCAGCTGCATCAACCCCTCCAGCCTACTCTCCAGGTAAACTCACTTTTAAATATGTTGTGAGAGTGTGCTTGAGTGCGTGTGTATATGTGCACAAGGCCTACTCTAGGGATGCATATCGTTGACTTTTTTACGATACCGATACCACTGAACGATACCGATACTCAACCGATACATATCGTGATACTTTGAAAATGTATCATCCCACAATTACTCCCATGAAGTGCTTTACGATATAGTTAACATGTCAAATGAATATTAAATTAAATTGTGGGACTTCTTGGACCTTTTAGTACTGAACAAACAATGAAAAATACATAAAAAATATGAAGAAAACCGATTATGGAATATCTTTTATAACACCCGCCATCAGGTGTGCCGCGTGAATAGCACATCTTGTCAATGCAAACAGACCGTTATAGCACCGTTATAATTAATGTTAAACCTGAGATTCGACTAGAGAACAAATACATAATAGAATAATGGTCATGAGATCTCGGCATTGCACAAACAAACAAATCTCATCTTTAAAATCAACATTTGCCTTCACTGGTGAGAGAAAACAAATCCCATCACAGTTCATTTCTGGGACTTTTACCTTTCTAGTATTGAACAAACAATGAAAAATACATAAAATATGAAGAAAAATGATTATGCAATCTCATTTATAACACCCGCCATCACGGGCCACGGACTCACTTTTAAAATTAATTAAAAAAAACGGATCTGATTTTGGTACGGTATACCGTAGCCACCAGTAACCGGTATTTCAGTAATACCGGATACCGGTATGCATCCCTAGCCTACTCCCAAGAAGGCATGTGTGCAAGTCAATCTCATTCTTAAGACTGATGTGTCTTTCCTTCTGCGACATTAACCAGCCCCAGCACAATATCCAGGTCCAGCCTTCCAAAGAACCTCCGTCAAGAGCAGAGCGCGTGAGTGAGAAAAGATAACGTGTCACCTACAGGGAACTTGAAAGCTTGACTACTCTCACTCACACTGGAGCCCATCTCTGTGGCGCAGAGGTGTCTGCATGTCTGCGTCATGTTCAAGGATCGGACTAACATAACTGAATGGTGTTTAATGGATCCAGTGTGTCAGGTCCCAGGACAAAACAGGGGTTATTGTGTGTGATTATAACTGTCTGTCCAAGGCTGCAGATGCATATAATTATCAGCAAACAACTTGCGTTTTAAGTGATCAGTGATTGCAGTAGTTAATCAAAGTTGTCAGTTAAATCTAAAATGTTATCATTTTTCTACCTGCAGTCACGGTTTGGCTGAATTGTATCTATCTGTATGTATGCCTGTCTAATAACTGATGAAGCTTCTGAACCTCAAGAAAAATCATTACATTCCTCACTATACAGATATAGTCAGGGTTAATCTAACAGTAGAATGCCTCTGGCTTAGACTTGAGAAAAGTTATATTTGGAATAAATTAGTTTGGCTGTCATGACATTGATTTCAATCTTAAGGTTCAGAACAATTCTCCTTTACCTCACTGCTGACTAACTCATAACTTGTTTTATTCCTCAGTCATACTGGAAAACATACTGGTGACACAGGAAATACTAATCTATTTGAAGGGAAATTAATTACATGACTTTATTAGTTGTTTCTCCTTCCTTTAATCCCCACCTTTGTCTCTCTTTCTGTGCAGCTGAGCCTTGTTGTAAAGCCCTGTATGACTTTGAGCCAGAGAACGAAGGCGAGCTGGGCTTCCGCGAGGGCGACATCATCACCTTGGTCAGTCAAATCGATGAGAACTGGTTCGAGGGAGCCATTCGCGGCAAATCTGGATTCTTCCCCAACAACTACGTGGAAGTGGTGGTGCCTCTGCCACACTGAAAACAGCCAGGCAAGATGAGAACTACAGAACGGAGAGGGTGAATAGTGGCAGAGGTAGTGATTTCAAACTCACAAAAAAACAAAAGATATTTTCTCTTTATTGTAGTAATCGCATAACCATCTCAAGATAAAGACCTTATATGTACCTAGGAGTTATTGAGTATAGAGCTTTTTTTGTATTCTGTCAGATTATGTCAACATTTAGTTGTAATGGTAAGGAAAGAGGGATTTTTAGTGACAGCTTAACTATTGGGTGACTGCCTTTACAATATCTTAAGTATTTACATTCACTCTCAATGCACCTGTGCACTTTGTACACTACACCTCCATTACCGGGACTGATGAAGAAAGATCGAGACAAGAAAGACATCTGTAATGACGTGCAGCCGTTTCAAACACTAAGACGTGCAACTTTATTCTTTCATTCTTAACCTACTTTATATTTACAAGACTACATTTCTTGTTTTATGTACTGTTTATACTGACATGTATACGCATGCATTCTTCCAAACACTATTAGCTACACTCCCAGTTCTCACTGTGCCTTCAGGCTTAAGTTTTGTAAGTAAGGAGCACTGCTTGCCTTCTGTTGCTGTGTATGACTATCCTTTACTGCCATCTAGTGGACCGAGAGATCATTCTTAGCTACTGGCGCTGTCACACAACCGCTATTATCTTTTGCCAGATACAAAACAAACCAAAACAATATTTGACCAGATCCTTTTTTTAGGGGGCATGTCTGTATGAGGTCGAAAACGTTTCTTGAAAACATATATAAAACTTGAAAAATAGCTGATATCAGTCAGCCGGTAACATTGACTGACTGCTGTATAGCACATGTTTTCAGAGAAACTGATCAGAGAAACTGACATTTTTACAAACGCATATATATTCAAGACCAAAATAAGTGGTTATGTAGTCGATTGTAAAGAGCTGGAGGGCGACCATAAATATGCCTAGTTTTATAACACCAACTGTTGCCACGTTGTTATTGATTTAATTTATCCAGAGTTCCTCACTGCACTCCACTGTCTCTTACAGCTGATGTTGGGTGAGACTGCTGTTTGACATGCAAATAAAATTGAAACAACCTCATGCGCGCAATGCTGCATAATTTTGTTAAATGTTCGAGATTTTTATTTGCAAACATCGGGTTTTAAATTAATTTGACATTTTGTAAAGACATTTGTTTCCATTCCAGTGAAACTCACATGTAATATGACTCAGCATTACACAAAAGCCATAAGTGCCCTTCAGCTTAATTTTCTCAGGCTGTATTGATACTGCTGGCAGTGTCGCTCACAATGTGTTGTGGGCTTTTATCAAACTGTTTGTCGATGTATTTTCAGTCTTTGATTTGTTTTCTCCAAAGTGCTGGGGTAAACTTGGCTTTACTACTCCAACCTATAATTTGGAGCATGAAAATTAATCTGATGTGTTGTGTTTCGGGTATTTTTGGACCTGCCTCTGTTGGAACTGTGCACTAGACCTGCCAGAAAATGCTCCATAACTATCTCCGAACTGTTGTGTAAAGAATATAGTAATAATGAGGAAGGCCTATACACAATGACCGGTTTCAGTTTCAATTAAGTCTTTTATAAGCTGACTATAGACTGTGAGGGTTTGTGCTGTTCACTTAAATACCAACTTTCTCCTCTTGTCATGATCCCCTTGTTAGACCGCCCCATGCCCCACTCATCTCTCCCATCTCTGTTTAGACCGGGAGCGGAACAGACAGGTCTTTTCAGCGGGGAAGGGCACACAGCAGTGGATTATGCCCTTCCTCCCCCACTGGCCTTTATTCACCACCTGCCCCTTTACCCCTGCCTCCTTTCTCATTATCTGCCCCAACTCAATCCCTTTGTGCCTCTGGAGTCTCCTGGTCCACTCCTGGAATAATCTTCTCATTGTTATCATAATATGTGCCTCTTAAATGTTATGTTTGTATCTCTCCTATGTTATTCTTGTTAAGTATAGGGCCGGGGTCTTCGGCTGTGCTGGGTAGTAACCGTGTGGTTCAGGTGTGGGTTTACATGCCTCATTACACGAAATGAAAAGCCTGGAGTTTGAGAGGGGGGGGTAGAGGGTCAGGGGTTCAGGTGGAGCTATTATGCATCCTGTATAATTTTGACAATGAATAATGTTGTGGAACAAAGGACTAAGATCAATTTTTGTGTGCTGCTGCTGTCACATCTGAAATAGTTGTCTGAACGCTGCAGGTGACATTTATTGCAACACTACATTCTATACGATGGCTGTATTGCATCCATAACCATAAGTGTCTTTGCAATATTGCTGAATTAAGTATTATTGGACTTTAAGGCTTTATTTGAATGTGCACAAGTAATGGAACTTTGTAAAAATGTAACTGCTCTGCATGTGTCTTCATTACAGCTCCTGTGTTGTACTCAATGCCTTACTTTTGTAACTGTGATGCTATGCGGAGACTAAAAATTGGATTATCCTGGATTATCTTTTAGGATGTATGGATTACCTCTGTACTAAATGTAATCTTCTATGTATTGTATATTTTTGTTGTTATGTAAAAGGCAATGGATGATCTTCATTTGCTTCTTCAAATAAATATTAAGTAATTTTGCGACCAGTGTGTCTGTACAGCCCTTCTACTGAATTGGACATTTTAGATTGATATGATTTATAATAAAGTATGATGGCTGATGCAGAAAGGATTAGGATTTTCTCTTTTCTCATTTATAGGCCTACATTTAAATCTATCCATCCATATATGCTCAACTGCTCATTTTCACTCAATAGACATATCTACTTTAGACATTTATCCCCCAACCATCCCATTTCTAATCTGCACTTCCACCCGTCTGCATGATCCCCGCACACAGCAGGCCACAGTAGCCAGCTGTTGGATTATTGCCACGGTTCTATCTCATCGGGGAAGGCGTGTCACTCCCCGAATTACCCAGCGCCCCTTTGTCCTCGATCGGTGCCCAGCCAGCGACACTCATGGCGGCTGCACCCGTCAGGCAGCGCTCCGGGCCAGGGGGACCCCGGGCGCAGCTCCCGCCCTGCTACTACGAAGGATACCTGGAAAAGCGAGGACCGAAGGAGAAGGTAGGGTCGCCCGGCGCAGTGCCATGTTGTTTCCTGTGCATGCTGAGGATAGCAGTGGTCAGTATGACACCGGCTGATCCCCCATTCCCAGAGAGCTGTCAACTTCCTCCTGGTGTAGAATGGGCGAGGCGAGACTGCACTGCTGGTGGGGATTCTTGACATGGCGTTTGTTGTGCTGCTAAATATTATTTAGCAACAATCTGACATGCAGCGAATTATGATCGAATCTAGACGCATGAATCGTGTAAACATGGCTGCTGTCAAAACATTGCATTTAATTGAAATCGTTTGAACGATTAGCGGCGTTATCTTAATTACTCATCTGTTTCTCTGGGTATGTCTTCCTATAATTTCACCTACAATGTAATGCTGACTTATTTTACCATATTCTGACAGCCTGATCCATTAGGTTCATTTTTACTATCTCAAATAGAAAGTTGTACACAGTAAAATTGTTTCTCTTGTGCATGTTGTTATAGATATATAAAGTGATACATACAGAATGGGATACCCTCCCCCCAGGCTCTTCCCTCTCATTAGGCTCATTTTAATGCAATATAGACATGTAATGTGAGCCTGGCTCAGGTGCAGGGTATTGCTCTGATCCATAGCCACAGATTGACAGCAGCTGTGACTCACTTCCTATTCATCTCTTGGGACAGGAAATGGGGGGTGATAAAAAGGGAAATATCCATTACACACAAAAACAGCTTTTCACATCTCTGCTTGTGTCTTTGTGTGACAGGCATCCAGGCGGCTGTGGACCTGTCTGTGCGGGAATTCTTTGTATTTCTTCAATAACGCCAAGGACAGCCATGTAAGTTTCAGACTGTGGACACTGTGTTGTTTGTGCATCACAGTGTGTTGAAACTGATGCATGCTTCTATGTGTGTTACAGTTTGTGGAGAAGCTGGACCTCAGTGGGTTTGTGTCCCTGAAGGACGACTGCAGCCGGGACAGAAACCTGGAGGCAGCCAGACTCATCCTGCGCATGAAGGACGGAGAGACCAAAATCACAGTAATACTATTTAACACACCAAATCACTGACATTAAAATACGTTTTACAAGGTGTAACAATGCTATTGTCTCTTTCAGGCCCCTAACTTGGAATCAAGGGAGCTGTGGAAAGGTTTCCTCTACTCCGTTGTAGATGTAATTATTCATCTTTTGTACACCTGCATCAATTTATCTCTCTCTTGTGCCATCTTTAAAATATTCTCTCCTCTTTCCAATCACAGCTGAATGTACCATCCTATCTCACGTTGCTGCCTGGCCAGCTGCAGATGCTGAAGGAGGTGGTGGACAAAGAAAGATCCAGGAGGAGAACCCGCACCCCCACACGCGCTCCTCCCTCACGCGCTCCTCCCTCACCCCTCTCCGTGCCTTTAGTAGGGGAGATCCCACCGTGAGTTCTCCTTGAGAGGATAGTAGTTTTAATGTGTGACTATATGCCCATTTTTTTATGTGTGTTTGTGGCATGCAGGTGTTTCCGACCGGTGTCTCGAACAGAGGCGGAAGTCCTTTTAGAGAGACACCCAGACTGTGGCAACATGCTGCTCCGTCCAGGAAGAGACGGGTGCTCATTGGCTGTCACGACTCGCCAGGACCTCAATGGGTAAACCCCTGCTGAACATCTGAGCACCATGGCTTTAAATATCAGAGTTATGTACTGCAAATGTTACAAGATTTGTGTGTTTCTCTCTTTTGCTCCAGGTCAGTGTTCAGACATTACCGTGTGACTCAGAGGGACCAAGGTGGTTACATCATTGATGTAGAAAATCCTGTGAGTGTATTAAACACATACACTTCAAATCTTAAATTTCTTAAAATTAAATTATTTTGTCCTAATCATGTTTTTATTTACTTACCTTATTATTGTTTTGTTGTATTTTCATTGTTTTTTTTACGGGACTTCTGTCCAACGCTTGACTTATGTAATGTGAATCACTCCATGAACACATTTTTTTATAATAACAATGTGGATCAGTTATATCATGGCTAATACCTGGCCAAAATCTGCTTAGTTGTATTGCAAAAACGACATATTGGATCACTGAACACTGTCAATCTTTCAAAAGTAAATATAGCTACTATCCTGAATTTTCTCTCTCAATTTTTAAGAGGATTGTTTGGGAAATGGCAACTGCCAGGAGTTAATATAGAACATGCTTTGAGATGGTAGCAATCAGCAATGTTTCAGACTCAATAAAAACAGCTTTGACATATACCAGCAGCTTTAGGTGTATAATCAAATGGATTCCCTTTTCCAGATTCCCTGTGCTACCCTTCACGAGGTCATCGACGCTCTGGTAGAGAAGACGGCAGGAACTCTGCAGCCTTTCCTCCTGGAGGAGCCTTACGAAGAAAATATCAGTGAGGAAAACATGCAGCACAAAGATATTCTCAAGATTCATTTGTTGTCTTCATTAGCACTTTATTACGAGTATTTAAAGAGGCTGACCACCTTTTATTCTGTTTGTGTCATCAGCATATGTTTCTGCCAATGATGAGAATGGAGAAAGGATCCTCCACACTGCCCCCTCCAGCCCCCTGCCAAAGGCTCCTGCCCTGCCTCCAAAACAAGGTTTGTCTCGGTCACAAAAAACAACATGCAGACACTCGCAGACTGACAGAAGTATTCATCCTTGCTTTTCTTCTGGTGCAGATCGCTGGCCCAGCAGCCCCCTGAACAGGTCACCCGCCCCAGACCGCCGTATCCTGACCTCATCAGTGCCGGCCTCGCCCACCAACCCAATGAGAAGACTCATCCTCTCCCCTTCACCTCTCGCACAGAGTGAGTAGACAACGAAGAGCCAACCTGCTGCAGTCATCCTGATTTACAGTTAAAAACAAAAGAATATCACATTCAATATCTGAGGAGCAATACAGTTAATCATGCAATTACAAGTAGTTATCTAAGAGCTAGAGCTGAATTCATTAGACAGAAAGGTAATTGCCAGGTATTTGAAGAAATTGTGCTGTTTTCCAGCACTCAAATATGGAAATGTATGGTCATTTATGTTCGTTGCAGACCTGCTAAAAACAAATAGATATACTGTACAAAAAAAGTACCTAAACCTGCCATATCTTCTGTCTTTTCCACAGCTTTCAATGAGGAACTCAAAAGGAAGCTGGAGAAGAGACGAGCCAGTCAGGAGTGATTGACTCATCATGAGGAACAACCTTCTGTCACTCAATCTTCAGTGCCAAAACCCTTCTTACCGCAGCTATGTATTTATCCTGTGCCTTCTAGGTGGAAGACAAGGGACTATAAATATTGCCACTTTCTCTAAGGGAGATACAAAACGTTGGACTGATTAAATGGACTTTAGTTGGCTTGTTAAGAGCAAGATTGCCTAGAAAACACTGGATTAGGTTCATAAAATGCCTTGGTTGGGGTAACAATCCACTGGTGCTTTGTCCACAAAAAGCTGTTTACAAACTGCATCTGAGCAAAAATAATAGTGCCACAACAAATGATTTCCCTTCAGAATACAGCCCACACTGACTCAATATGACTGGCAGCTAAAAAAAAAAGAAGAGAGAAGCACTGACACAAACCGGACCACCTACTGAGCCTGATGTTTTCTCGTCTGAGCCCCTGTCTGAGCTGCTGATGTGACTGCTGCACCACTGAAGACTAAGAACACAAACAAACCTAAGACTGCCGAGATCAACACCGGAACAACAAACTCTGACCTGAGACTCTTTATCTGCTCTGAAAGTCAAATAAGCCAGGCATGATCAGGTTTCAGTTCAGCAATTCTGTTCCCTCACCTCGTCATATGAAACATGCCTGAAAAAAGATATTGTCTGAATACAGAAAACAGCTGGCCAGAAAACTGCACAATCTCTGCCTGCTGCTCATGAGTGCTATTTGTGATATATAAGCAACCATTAATGTATTGTTGATTCAGTGACACTGTTGTGGCTCATCAATGACTCAACTTTAACCATACTGTTAGTGCTTATTTTAAAGTCTTTCCTTATTCTCTGCCAATGTGTTTGTGCTACTGTATGAATGGAGATTCCAGATGATTTCAATACTTTCTCAAGAAAATCTATTTACTGTACTAATATGAGGTTGCCCTCTAGTGGAATATCTTTTAACTCAATCGGCAGAAACTAAAAAAGCACAGTGTTTGGATATGAAGTACATTTTTTTATGTTACAGTCCAAACCCAGCAAAGACTTTTGGCTTCATCACAATATGTTGCCATGCCCTACCTCTCTACCTTTAATAATGCAATTACAATTTATTACAGGTCTGAAGGAGCTTAAACAATAACAACATGTATTTCTACATTGACATTATGTCAATTTGCAAGTATATTTGAAGTCCGTGAATATTTGTGGCAAACTGTGATCAATAAGTGTCCTCTTAAAATGAACAGTTTCTTGTATGTTTGTACATGATGTGTTGTGTCTACTTGATCACTATCAAAGAATAGTGTTTGTTAGATATCAAGTGCATTAAATGTTTTTTGCATGGATGAGATGTGTCCTTTTTGTGAATCGATAGCTTATGCTTTATCAACAGTGCACCACTTTTTGGTTTACTGAAGAATGTCAGAGGTTGATCCAGTCATTGATTGAAAACCAAGAGTGCCAACAGGAGAATAAGGAAATTGGATAATGTTAGAATAAGTCAAAGCTATCAGTCCATCACAGAAATATAGAAGACCAGAAAAAATGTGTAGGAACATTCGCAACGGTTTTTTAAAGATTGACATGGAGATTCTGTTTTATCAACCACATATAACTTCTAAATCTATGTTGCCTACTCCAATTAATATTTCATAAATAAGTAGGCCTATTATTATGTAAAATAAAAAGTAGTATAAGACTATATATGTATATGTCACTGCACATGCAACATTATTATAAAGGATATGGCTATAAAAGAAAAATAACAATTAATTTATCCATTCTATCCGATGATAGGAGGACCCCCTGCAGGACAGACAGTCCCACACCACTGAGAAATGTTACTCCATCACTCCTGTTTGGACACGTTCAAGTAAAAACAAAAACAAACTTGAACACCCTCCGGGAATGTATCTTAAAACCTCGCCCATCTTGAATCAGTTATGTGTCCTGCATCAGACCAAAGTATATTCGGTCGGAACAATGCAACTTAATCAGATCTGAGATCCGCGCCTAACGCCGCCTCAACGGCAGTTAGGAGGGAGTGAAAAGAAACAACCTGTGGCCAACCGGGGCAGCAGCAGCCATTCAACCCTCCTCACCGCGGGATGTGAGTGTCTCTACAATAACGGATGACTGCTGTGACTTTGAGAGGACCCGACCGAGAAAGAGTTTAGAGAGTCGCTTTTTTCTGCTGCAGTCTGAAGTTTTAGAGAAAAGGTGAACCTGCAGTCGGTGCAGACGTTTTAAAGGAAGTTGCAAGCTACAGCGAATCAGTGTTTTACATCTCAGCGTACGTTAGGCAGCAGCAGCAACGTGTGGGGGACATAATACACTTCTCCGTTTATACAAAGTACCAGATACTTTGACTGTTAATCAATTAAGAGTTAAAGGATTAGAAATAACGTTTGAACAGGTGTTGGAACTATTTAAATGAAAGCCTCGGCATTTTTGGGCGTGTCAGTGAGCAGGTAAGTGATTAATTTTGAAATGTTGACGGTTAGCCTGCTTCAGATTGCGCTGCAATTTGCTTGCGTTGGTGCCAGTTTCCTTAAAACTGTATTACATGTTGTAAAACTGACATTAAATAACACATTCTCTTCAAAAAATATCGAAGCAACTCACTGGCTTCCTCTGACATTGCCTTTAAGTGTGTGTGCGCGTGCGTGTGCGTGTGCATGTGTGTGCGTTGAGAGAAGCTGGTTTTGGCCCAAGGGCGAACTATGTGAAACATCTTATCAGGGCTGCATTCTCTGACATGCCGCAGCTCATCAGTCCACAACAGCACACCTCTCTTAGGAAAGAATCACCTACACTCCCACTGCAGGTTGTAGTAAAACTGCTGGAAAAAATCACCCAAAACAACAGCTGTGTCTGTAATTAAAGGAGAAGCAAGCCCAGGCTAAATGTTACTCTGTTTGCAGACTTAACTGGGTTAAGCGGTGGTGATGATGCAAACCAACATGTTTCCTGTGTGTGCGAATGAACCACTTTTTTTTGCAAGATTTCCACTCATCTGCACAGACCTTGGCCCTCTCTGTGAATCTCTTTTTGTGTGTGCTTGTGTTTGGTGCAGCAGGAGAGCTGAATTTGACATCCCTGCACCCTGCTGAATGCCTTTCATGGCCCTGCATTAACATCACTATGGCACTGACAGATTTACTGCCGTGCTGACTTTAGCTCACTCTGCTCTTTCTGGCTATTCCGCTACTCTTTTGCTTTGTTTTCTCCAACTTGTGTTTAGGCAAATTTCTCTCCACAGGTTGATGTTTTTTCCACATGTTTTGGTATACATATTTAACCTTCTTTTCTGTCGGGTCTCAGGTCCAGTGAATTGATTGTGATATCCATACAACCTTGTCTCTTTCAGTCCTGCTCGGCTTTGTTTCTTTGGTCCGTGCCATCCATCTCATCATGGACAGCCTGCTGAGCGGGGCCAGTAAAGGGGCCGGTGCCCTTCAGTCAGCACAGACCTCATCACGTCATAGATGCCACTCGCTGTCTTTGCCCCTGTATGAGTGACCGTTTAGGAAACAATAAAGCCTAAATTCCTCTTAGTTTGAACAAAAGAGCCATGCATCCACCGCTGGCCCTCTGTGTCTTTTGGCTGCTGCCCCTGGCCTTGACGCTAGAAGAAGACTCTCCCCTGGACTGTGTCCCTCGCAAATCCGTGCCCTCCCATAGTGAGTGTTGCTTTCTGTCTTGCTTAATGTTGGCTCACAATGTGTTGGCTAGTGTTGGCTCATATAGTTTGAGTAACATTGGGTTTACTCATGAGGAAACAGGGTTGAATCACTGCTGTTTGCCAAAGTTAATCAGTCATGTTCTGTGTCTAGAGGCCAACGCTCACCTGTTTCATGAGGAGGGAGTGTTCAACTACTCCACCATGCTGCTGAGAGAAGATCTGGACCTGCTATTGCTCGGGGCCAGGGAGGCAGTGTATGCTCTTGACCTGAAAGACATCACCAAGAAACTTGCTTCAGTAAGAACACTGATGATGCCAACGTCATTCAAATAATTCTGTTAGCATTAGTCGTAACATTTCTTATCTGAGTTTCTTGGCCCAGGGCTAGCACATTTTTGTGTTGTGCCAAGTTCTCTGCTCTGAATGAAGCCCTAACTCAACACATACTTAAACCAACGAGTGTTACTGGAAGTTAATGGCTGATTTACGTTTGTTATACTACTTCAGTTACATTTGCAAGGACATGTTTACTTATTCTCCACAGTTGTAGCTTCCTAACAACTAATCAACCCATTTTGGATAATTGTATTTTTTTGTTATTTTGCAGCTTGAGATTCATAACAAAGTATAATTGTAAATGCAGCTAAATGCAATGTAATGTATTATTATGGAAAAATATTGTATTTATTCTTTGCCACCTTGAATTCCTTGCTAATAGCTGCAGCATAAAGTAATGTACATATGATTTAATTAATAATCATTATTCAGTTATATAATATCCTAAAATGGGCCATTCTGCATAATAAGCACTTTTACTTTTGTTGCTTTTGGACTGCAGACTTTAACTTGTTACATAATTTATTTTACAATGCAGTATTACTACTTTCACTTATCAAGTAATATATCAGAGTGCTTCTTCATCGCTGTGATACCAATCATAAAACAATTAACCTTGAAAAACGGAAACATTTAAAACAACATGGTGTTTTCACTCTTTCAGGTTAAATGGGAAGTGACACAACAGCAAAGAGACGAATGCAGAAACAAAGGAAAAGACCCTGAGGTGGGTCCCGTTTTAGCTTTGTCTATTTTAAATGTTTTTAGAAGGTGTAGTCATTGCTCTTTGAATGCCTTTACAGACGGAGTGCATGAACTACATCAGGATCCTGCACCAGACGGAGGATAACCGGATGTATGTGTGTGGAACCAATGCTTTTGATCCTGAGTGTGATTACATGGTGAGATGTGTGCTTGCTTATCTACATGTATATTATTGAACACTGCATAAATTGATGCTGTGTAGTTTATTCATCACTATTCTCATCAATTTGTGCAACATAACTATAGAACTTTAAGACTTTGTGAGTTTCAGTGTCTCTGTGATTGTCTCTGCAGTCCTACGCAGATGGAAAGCTGACTCTAGAGAAGAAAGCAGAAGATGGCAAAGGGAAGTGTCCATTTGATCCTTTTCAGAGATATGCCTCCATCATGGTTGGTGAGTAGCGGTTATATATTAAGAAATCGAGGATGAATGATTAATTCGTAAAGCTGCATTTTTATTTATTTCTTTGTATCTCTGTTTCCACTGTTGTGTCCTGCCAGAAAACAACTTATTCTCGGCCACTTCAATGAACTTCCTGGGCTCTGAACCCGTGCTGGCGCGCAGCTCCCCTGTCTCCATACGCACTGAGTTCAAGAGCTCCTGGCTTCATGGTAACATATGATCCTATCCTATATAATGTTGAAGATGGCGTTCATGCAAATGCTTTACTGTCTGGTCAACAACCCTTTTATTTCCATGACTCAGACAAGACAATGACAACAATACAACAACGTCTTTATAGAGTAACTTTGACTATATTTTGCAGTGATTACTTATTGTTGACTAAAAGACTAAAATGATTCAGATAAATCAGATTCTTTTTTCCAGCAGTTCTGTTTCCTGTGTAGCTGCCATATCAGGACTAAATCAATAGTACAGTCACAGGCACTAGGCCTAACTTACCTACTTAAGTTAAAGTAAACAATACCAGCAAGGTACAGTAGCTTGGGACGAAGACACAAGGTCAAACTTCGGCTATTTGACTAAGGAGGCATACAAAACAGGACGAGGTTGACTGAATGTAATAAGAAAAACTAAAAGGGACATTTGACACAGGACTAAAACTAAACCAAAAAAGAAGCTGACAAAATGTACACTCCTGCTCTGAGGTGAACAGTCTCATCTTGATGATTTCTTAGTAGCTCAGTCAAAGTTGCTGTTCTTTTCTTCTTTCAATACCAGAGCCCACCTTTGTTTCCATGGCTCAGATGCCAGAGAGTGATCTGAGTGAGGAGGGAGATGATGACAAGGTCTACCTGTTCTTCAGTGAGTCCGCTGTGGAGTGCGACTGCTACAACAAACTGGTGGTTTCCCGCGTGGCCCGGGTCTGCAAGGTGAAAAAGAGTTTAGCGTGCATGCACTTATTATTTGTCGCAGGTCCATTTCCCAAAACGACCGTAACATATAAACAGCACTTCCTCAGTGGCGCTCAGTCCGGCCTTTCCGCTGCTTGATTGTGCATCCCGTTTCTCTTTGTGTATTTCCACATGTCAATGTGGAAATACAAGGTTTTTTCTGTGCTCACAGGGGGATCTTGGAGGTCTGAGGACCTTGCAGAAAAAATGGACATCCTTCCTGAAGGCCAGGATGGACTGTCCCGTGTTGGAGTCTCAGCTGCCGTATATTATCCAGGACACTTACCGCTTGTGTGACCCGCAGCAGCACTGGAAGGACTGTTTGTTCTACGCCATCTTCACACCCCAGTCGTACGTTTGAATCAACAAACGTGTTTGTGTTTGAGGGAGCAGGGTCTCTTTCTCTTTAATGGGCTTTGGCACACCACTTGGCTCACATTTCTGTGTGTGTTTCAGGGATACATCAGACCTGTCTGCAGTGTGTGCGTACCGCGTGTCAGACATCAGTAAAGTGTTTGCGGAGGGGAAGTACAAGACCCCAGTCCCCGTAGAAACCTCTTTTGTTAAGTGGGTGATGTACAGCGGAGATGTCCCCGTCCCTCGGCCCGGAGCTGTGAGTCTGCCCAGAATTCAACGTGTGTGTGCGTGTGTTAGAAACAAAGGCAAAACTCAAAAGGCAACTCTTTTTTTTACAAGTGTCCCAGCAGGAAACTGATTCCTTTTGTATTCTGACTCCGTTGTTCTCTCTTTTCTCTTTCCTTCCCCTCGTCCCTCGCCAGTGCATAGACAATGAGGCTCGTAAAGCGGGCATAAATCAGACTCTGGACCTCCCAGACCGGACCCTTCAATTTATCAAAGATAGGCCCCTCATGGACCAAGCTATCCAGCCAATAGGGGAGAAGCCTGTTCTGGTGCGAAGGGGAGCCACATTCACACGCATCATAGTCAACCAAGTGCAGGCCGCAGACGGAGAGAAGTACCATGTCATGTTCATAGGCACAGGTGGGGGTCTCGGTTCAGCTGACAGCCACTTCCTTTCTTTATTTCCCTCTGCAGCTTTTGATATCATCACAACAGTGATAAGTGTCAGGTCATATGTGTCAGTATATAAATAAAGCATATTTCTATATTCCTATTAAAAAGAGGAAGGCACAATGCTGAAAGCAGTGAACTACGATGACGAGATGTTCATCATAGAGGAAGTGCAACTCTTCCAGCCTCCAGAGCCAATCAAGACTCTGAAATTCTCTCACGTCACGGTAATTTAAAACTCTTTCGTAGCCACTATAAATGGTTTGCTTCTTTTAAATAATTGAATGTGTGTGTTTATTGTATATGACGGTAAAGCACCAACATCAGTGTGATGGCTCTGTATTTCTGTGTGATGTCTCACTGTGTACAGGGTCAGCTCTATGCGGGCTCAGACTCGGGGGCAGCACAGATACCGCTGGCCTCCTGCTGGAGGTCCCTATCCTGCATGGACTGTGTTCTAGCCAGAGACCCATACTGCGGCTGGGACAAAGCTGACGGGAAATGTGTCGTCCTTTCTGATGTGAAAGGGTAGGCATCTTTCCCAACATGAAGTACATGCAATGTCGATATCTGGTCTCTCAAAACGAAATGGTCATTCTTGTATCCTCTGCTTTAGAGAAATAATCCAAAGTGTGAAACAAGGAGATGCCTCTCTCTGCCCTGATGCTGGTGAGTTAGTGTACACTACCACTGTAATAGAAATATTGATATTGTGGATGCCTGTTGCGACTTTCCTGGAAGAACTGCTGTATTAAGGCACAGCTAATGCAAACCAAACATTTTCCCAATAATGCAGCTTCACATTCAAAACAATGTACAGCTAAAATACAAGTTTACTTTTATAATCTAGAAGTCACAGTAAATGCATTATGTTTCTACTATTGATCATCAATAATGTGTATGCAAAACATCTGTTTTGCGTCTTTGGAGAGCAAATATAGAATTTTTAATTACCAACTCCTTTATTTCAATGTGTTTTGATGCCCCCAGTATCGTAGGAGGCATTAACAGTCACCGACGGTAAAGAGGGTGTGGCCAAATCACACCAGAACAAAAATATGAATTACTGCCAATTTTAATCCTTTACATAACAATAATTGAGGTGTATTGTGGATTGGTAAATTGAAATTGTGTGTAAGTGAAGGACCTGTTTTATTTTCAGATCCTGTGAAACCTATGAATAGGTCCTTCTGGTACGGGGGAAACCTGAATCTCCATTGCCTTCCTCCCTCCAACCTGGCAAAGACCAGCTGGGTGCGGGCTGGCCGGCCTCTGACCCCTTCAGCTCGCATTCAGGTTCTACAGGACGGACTGCTGATCCTGAACGCCACAGAGTCCGACAGTGGTCGGTACCGCTGCCTGTCTGTGGAGCTCTCCAAAGCTGACAAGTACACGAGCACCGTGGCAGAGTACCAGGCTATAGCCCTGTCTGACCCGGGGGACACAGGGTCTACCCAGGCTCAGACTAAAGGCCCCTCTGTGGCTGGACTGCAGGTCGTAGTCGGGCTCCTTGTAGTTTCTCTTCTTGCCCTTTTGGCTTGGAACTTTTACAAAGGCCATCTACCGCTGCCCTGGAACTGCAGAAAGAAGAATACAGAGCAATCCCAAGAGACCCCCGAGCAGGGGGGGCTGAACTCCAGAGTGACCTACCAGGATGCACCGGGGCCCGTACCGACAGAGGGCAAGCCCCTGGTGTCTGGAACAAACAACCACACTGGAGGGGAGGCCGCTGGGGAGAATGAGGACCCCAAAGATTCTCTGCAGTATATTGATGACGAGTACGAAAATTAAAAATGACCATCCTGCGCAACTAAAGTTTGAGAAATGAACAAGAATAACGCAAACTATTTGTTAAGAGGCAGAACTACTGGATTCAGCTCTAATGTTTGAGAGAAATCTCAATTTATGGGACTATAAAACATTCCCAAGGGATTGAAACTTTTGTACATGTTTGAGACATTTGAAGTTCTGCTTTTTGTTTTATAATTGTGTACATTTAAATGTTTTAGCTTCCTACTAATTGTTTAATACCTTTCATAGATTTAGCATATCTTGTAAAAATTATTTAGATTTTCACAGGGAATGTAAAATCATTTAAAATGAGCCATTTTCATTTTACCACTAGCTGCCATAGTTTTCTTTTATTGTATTAAAACGTTTCTACCTGGTTCTTGTGTATCTAAATATAGACAATGTTTATTAGTTTTCAACAAGACTGGGCTTGCAAAGAATGTGAAGAACAGATGTGGAAGATGCCTGCCGTTATGAATCATCTTTGTCCTTTCGTGTATGTACATCTCGTCTTTCTGACTGAGTTTCAAATATTCCATTTCTTAACTCAATTAAATGTTTAAAATTGGTGTTCACGACGGAAAAAACATTAAAACGTGGCAGCTTGCAAAGAGTAAGAAAGGGAAAAAATCTTTATTGTGTCATTTTGATTACGTTACAACTTGCATTTCAGACAACAGTACAGACTAATGTAGCTCCGACAAACTGCTCTTAGTGAGAGCAACCAAAAACAATAGAAAATAGCCACATTGACTGCACAGCCTACATAATATAGCGTCTATGCTTAAAACCCAGCGACTGGGGTCTTGGTCCGTCCCTCTTTGTGGTCTCTATCTCCTGTAGCGGTACCTCTTGAAGTGGAACCACAACTGGAAGATCCCATTGGCGAACTGACAGCGGAAACCGTGTCGATGTGAGTACTCCCACTCCCTGTTGACAATTTTGAAGGCAATGTCCTCGTATGGAGGGCCGGCGTGGAACCTTAGGATCCCAAAGTCCTTGTTGTCGGGACTGGGCTCGAGGAAGTACTGCGGGGTGGAGCGCTTGTCGATCAGGTCCGGGTAGAAGATGTTGAACTTGTAACCCTGCACGATCTTGGGCGGAGGGTTGTCGAAGTCGTAATGGGTCTGATTGTATTTGTTCCACTCGAAGCCTGTGTGGACCCTGTTGAAGAAGCGTGGTTTCCTGGGACGGTATTTGTCCGCCCACAGGTACATCTTCCCTGTGACGGGGAACTCCACGCTGAACTGGGCCTCGTCGTTGCCCATGCCCTGTCTGGCGCGACGGATGAAGAGGTCTTCGGCGGTCTCAACGGCATCACCTGATGGAGAAGTCAAAGAAGCAACCATAAGTGGGGAGAAACAATACATATAACCAGAGATGGCAAAAGTACACATCCTTTCCTCTCTTCTTTAGAGAAGACCAGGAAATGATAGATACACGGATCGTGTTCAAATCGCAATGACTCTAAATAATAATGATCACGCCACCAAACACAGATTAAAACTAAAGTAATGAGCCTGTTTGGAAATTGTAAGAGGTAGAAAGTACAGGTATTTGTGTTAAAAATGTGAGAAGTAAAAGTAACAAGTCAGAAAAATAAGTAGTGGAGTAAAGTACTGATACCAGAAACATTTACTTAAGTACAGTAACGAAGTATTTGTACTCCACTACTTCCCACCTCTGCATATAACATTTTGTGCAGCAAAAATGGTAGGTGCTGCTACATCTTCTGCAGGCATTAGTGCCCTGTGTGTTAATAATCTCATACCTGTGACTTGTAGCTGTTGTTGGCGTGCTAGCTCCAGCCTGGCTGTGTCCTCTTCTGCTGTGGTGGTGTGCGAGTCCAGCGGCAGCTCGGAGGACGTGAGCAGCGTGGGACTGTAGCGGCCCGAGTCGTACTCCGACTGGCTCTGCTGGATCAAATCCTCCTCCGTCAGCACGGCCTCCACTACCTCGCCCTCCTTCTCTTCGTCTTTCTTGTCGCCCTCTTCTCCCCCTTCCTCATTTGGTTTGCCCGCACCGGATGTTGAAGGACCTGCCTCCTCGTCATCCCCTTCGGTGTCTCTTTTTTTATTTTTGGTGGAGGATGAAGGCTCCCTTTTTTTTTTAACACAGAAGCGAGAATTAACAGTTATAAGTGAAAGTTAAAGCCCAGGTTACCTAAGCCTTCATGTCCTCAGGGAATCAGGATGTGTCTCATGTGTTGTTTCAATATAACGTACTCATCACCGCTCCTCGCCTCCTCTTTGATGATGGGGAACAAAGGTTCACTTTCCACCCCCTGTTCCTGTTTCAGCTTGAACAGCTTCTGGCGCAGAACATCCTGATGTCGCTCTCTCAATCTATGACACACAATAGAATATTTACATTTTCAATTTCTCCACTGTTTATTCCGATAATGAGCTGTCCTTAGAATTTATAATGCAAGTACAACAGCAGAAATGTGTACCTTGCTCTGGCCAGATAGACTCTGACTTGCTGCAGCAGACTCTCCCAGTAACCGATATCAAGATTTGACCCTCCTGCCCGAATCTTGGTCTCGATGTTCAGGTGCAGCGCCTGCAGCTGGCTGTAGGTCTTTCCTTTGAACACCGTCTGGACATCAATGGTCACAGCTGTGTTGATGCCTTCACGACGATCACCTGAGAATTCAAAAAGATTGCATTGAAGATAAAAAGGTAAAATAAATGTTGTTGGGCTTCTAGTACATACAAATCAGAGACAGCTATGAGTTGAATTATTTAGTGGCACGCGGCACCGTAACCAGTGGCACACTAGGAATAAGTGTGCAAAAATATTTTTATTGTATTTTCGAATCCTGAACGAGACCGCCGGCAGAGCGCGTCTCCCCCTGCAGAAGGAAGCCATGCACGCAACGCAGCGCAGAAGGATAACTTCTAGCCCCGCTCTCTTTAACTCCAGTCGACTTTCTGCTGCTTGCATTCATGGTGAAACGATCAGGGGTGTAGCGCACTTCACACATTGCAGTACCCATAAGGAGCTGTTTTGCGTGGCTGTGTCTTTACATTACATATTACTTAATTACTCTTTAGTTGAAAACCCAGTGGCGATCTGCTCATCTGTCATTGAAAATAATATGCTACACAGGGGCGGACTGGCCAACTGTGTGTTCTGGAGAATGACGCTACGTCCGGTCGTCAGCGAACCGAGCCGCTCACCAGCGGGCCGTTGACGACCGGGCTTGGTTCGCTGACGGCCGGGCTTGGTTCGCTGACGGCCGGCACCGCCCTTTATTTATTTAACTGTGTTTAAACGGCATCATGTAAGTTGCGCTGACAGGCGACAGAGGTCCACAGCTTCCCCGCAGCGAGGCTCCCCCCGCCCTCCAATTGACAGTTTAAGAGCGCCCCCCTTTGACAGTTCACGAACGCCGGCACACCAATCAGATTTTTATTTTTTATTTTTTAAATGGCACTTCATATCAAAAAGGTTGCCGACCCCTGATTTAGTCATAAAAACACTGCTGGAAATGTAACTTTACATGTCACAGTAAAGCAGGGATTATTCTGTACCTGGTCCTTTCCCAGAGGCCTCCAGTTTTCTCAGTTTGCTGATCTCGTCCTCAGTGATGGTCGTCATGTCTCTCCAGAAGTCCACGTTCTTCCCTTGCTCCAACTCCATGTACACCTGCCGGCACAAAAACACTCAGTTATTACAAAGATGGAGCTCTTTTAAAGTTGAAGCTTCTATTAAAACTTGGCCTGTGAGTGAGCCATTTGTAGGGTCATCTGCGTGAGCTAAAACATTCCATTTACCCTTTGGGGGGGGGGGTTTATTGTTTAAACTCATCATGCCGAGTCTGTATTGCGACACATTTTGTATTGACAAATCATTTTCCACTTAGTTAAAAGTTACATTCAACTGTAAAAGTCAGATTAGATGTCTAAAATGTTTTGGCACCCCTCAGTGGCAGATAAAGTAAAAAGACAGCAAGGAAATATATAACTCAGGGATACTATGATGAATCTGACATCTTTAAACATCTTGTTTTGTCCTTTCAAACCCCCAAATATTCGTTATCAATATGATTTGAAACTGAAAATATGCAGCTAATATCCATCTATCTGATTATGAAAAAAAAACATCTGCCAAGTATTAATTTGACAATTATAACAAAAGGTGGCGATAATTTTTTTGTTGAATCACCTAATAATTAGCTCTCCCTATAAAAGCATCACGTGCAATCAGACATGTTTTTTTAACTAAACTTTTTCACTGGAATAGACCCATAACCACTCACCTTAATGTCCTCCAGCAGGTCATCCATGTCTGTGACCGTGAGCCCGTTGAGAAAGGTGTAGGGCTCGTGCATCTCAACCGCGAGATCGTCATCTTCTGCACTGATGTACTTCGCCAAAAGGTCGATAGGCTTGGCTCGACCATCTCGGATTCTGATCTTGGACCTGGACAGTGAATATCATTTTCCTATTAATGATCAGTTTGTGGGAGCAACTTAACTGCAAGTGTGCAAACAAACAGAACCATGACAAAAACACCCTGCACTATCAAAAAGGGATATACGGTATATTGTGTGCACACTGACCTCAGTTTGGCCTGGTGCAGATGGAAGTTGTCCTCCTGCTCGGCCCAGGTTTTGAAATGCTCGGCCTCCTTCTCTCTCTGCAGCATCTCCAGCTCCGTCTCTCTCATGGCCTTTTCTCGCTCCCGCTCCAGACGCAGCTGCTTTACCTGTATACACAAAGTTTGTATAAATAAGAACATGGCTGATATTCAACACTCAACAATATAGTGCCATCAAATAAATACTCCACAGCTCATACCTTTTGCAGCTCTCTGCGATTCTCCTCTTGAATACATTTGTTTCTGTCTTTAAGGTCTTTATCTCCCAGATGGCCAATGCCTTTCTTATCCAATGCCTGAAAGAAACACAAAACTTGAGTTACAATACTCAGAGCAAGGTGGACTGGAAGCTACATTTGAAATCTCCTTCCATGCCGTTCAAATCTTCTCTCTAACTCACCTTCTGCCATTTGAATGTGCCCAATAGGTTGTTGTCCCCAAAGGGATTGTCTGCGTTGGTGTAGCCCATGTACTCTTCACTCCAGCCCATCTTTTCTCTCCTCTTCTTCTCCTTTGCTTCCTTCTTCAACAGTCTCCTGGCTCTCTTCTCCTCTGGAGTCTCCAGAGCCTTCATCATCTCTGTCTGTTTTTTCTTATCCTCCTTTTCTCTGACTACACGGCCTCCACGATCAGACTCTGAGCTATCAGACGAGTCAGGTGAACTGGAGCGCTGCCTCCCTTTTTCTCTTTTACCCTTGCTACTCTTACTCTTCCCTGGCTCTCTGTCTTCACTCTTCTTCTTGCACTCTAGGCTTTTGTCTTTGTCTCCTTTTCTTTCCCTGTCTCTGTCTGGCGCTTTCATTCTTCTGTCTCTGGCTGGACTCCCTCTCTCTGGACTACTCTGTCTTCTCCTTTCTCTGTCGCTGCTTTCCTCATGGGAGTCAGAGCTGGACTGGGACCTTTCCCTCCTTTTTTCTCGGGATGTTCCTCTCCGATTCTCCATTTCTTTTTCCTGCTTCCTCACTTTGGAATTGCCTGAATCAGAACTGAGAAAGAAAAAGGGATTAAGTAAATGTTGGCTAGTGGATAATCCATAATGTGTTGGAGAGAAGGACTATATTTTGTGTTTTTTTTTACTCTTGCGAATGTGAGTGGGTTGAAATGAAACAGCAGACTTGTGAATTAGTGTTAGTTTTTCTCTAAACACTTGTAAAACCTAGATCCAGATGCAATTGCAAGTTAATTGCACAATGATATCTTATCTGTATACATGTCAGAGTGTAATAATAATACGCCTGTTTAAAGTACCAATAACACAGTGGGAAACATCAAATGGTTTTTTGACAGCCCAATTTACACATTTGTCTCAGGGGCATATGACATCCTATATCCTTAGACCCTTGCAGGCCACATTGAAAAACTCCCCCCCCAGAAAAAAAATCACATTTAACTGGGGGGAAATAAAGGAAACCCCTGAGCCACAGAGGACGGACAGACGTGCAATAAATGTCATGCGTACATAGATTGGCTCAGGTTAATTTATTTGCCATTCAAACAAATACTTATTGGATTAACACGGGCAGCACTAATTCAACTCACTTTTGTATGAGGTAATGTCGTCACAAAGTGTTGTCTAGTGTTGGCTGGTTTGCATGTGTGTTTAGCGTTCAACAAGTGTTACGGCTCGATTATAACAGTAACGTTGGTTACCTTGATGATCGACCTCTCGACTTGCTCCTGGTTTTGTTTGCTGGTCCTCTCCTCCTGTCGCCCTCCGAGCTGCTCCTGTCGCCACCTGGACGGTCCCTGTTTTGGGGCCGACGCCGACCTGGAGAGCCATCGCTGGAGTTCCTGCTGCCCGAGCGGCCCCGTCCTCGCGCGGCTCTTTTTGTTTCCACAGACCGACTACGGCCTCTCCTTCCCTCCGGTGTGTGGGACCGGCTCACTCTGGATCTATTTCGTCGGTCTCTGCTTGGGCTTTTGGACCTCGAGCGGGACCGACGTCGTGATTTCGAACCCATCACGAACTTTCCGTCTATGCAGGGTCTGGAGTGCGCTCTGTCGCATAAATAAGAGGTAACAAAGAAAACCGTTTGCTCTCCTCACAGCGTAGTAGTATAGAGTATTTTTTAAACATTCAATTAACTACATGGACATATGTGTCTGATTCTCTCACTTACAGTCATCATAAAATTGTGGTAAATTGTCTGGTTTTAAAATGATTTGATCTGGCAGTAGGTAGCCATCTGAAGAGGTCTTTCTAAAAAACAATGGCGCACATTCTCGACGTCATGAGCATAGCTTGAGAAAATAAAGTATAAATTAATACAAATGATCTAATTTAAATGTTATGTTACATGGGACATCTTAAATATATTTAACATAATTTACATGTAATAAATTGTTAAAATACAGTGACATTAAAATTAGGTCAAAGCTGCTTTTCAGAAACACAAACAACATTCGCGTTTTCGTGACGTCAGTCAACTGGCAAATGTAGTTGTCCTAATTCACTCTTAAATTAATAGTTTAAACTAAAACTGTCATTGCTCATCCAATCACCCCTGGTTAATTTTGTATTCATATAAACAATAATTTTACCACGTCCTTGTGTGTCTTATTGTTTGCTTTAACGGTTAGAAGTCATGTTTACAGATGGTTCGTGGACTACAAATCCCAGACAACACAGAGCGCCATTGCCTGTGTGAAGGGGAGAGGAGACTCCTTTCAGAAACATTCTTCTTTACCCAGCTGTCTGTTGGGGCGATATTAACTGCATTTCTTACTGATGCCAGTAACATCTTTGTTTCCTCGCATTTCAGAGCAAGAATTTTGTTTTCTTTTTTAATCTGGCTCTAGTGACGAGTGTTACCTACTCGCACACTCGGTAAACTCGTCTTCAGCTGCTCCGTAAGGTACAGCTTGTTAGCTGGTTTACATTAGCCAGCAGCTACCAGTAGATGTACGGCTTATATCCGTGGCTGCGCTTCCAGGTAGATCAACTAAAGAGGCGCTGCTCAGCCACAATGGTTTGGTCATTTCACCAAATCCAGGGTAATGACATTGGTGAATAATTCATCTGATTTGAGGAAACATCAACGCAACCTTTGTTTGACAGCGCAACCCGTCTGCTTTGGCCTGTTTCATTGTCTGCGAACATCGAAAACAACCTAGTGGTTTTGTTTTTTTTCATTGTCAGTGGGTTGTTGGCCAACTCAGCCGTGTTCGTGTAAACACAGCAGTCAGCTGTTGACTTCAGATTTTACCACAGGCCAGCTATCTATTCCGGTATGGCACAACACGACCACTGTCATGTAGCTAGTTCACAGAAAGCACTCATGTTGGAGATGAAGAGCCTTCAGGAGGAGCCTGTGGAGGGATTCAAAATCACACTGGTGGACGAGGCTGATATGTACAACTGGGAAGTGGCCATTTTCGGACCCCCAAACACTCATTATGAAGGGGGGTATTTTAAGGTAAGAATTGTCCACCAGCGTGGAACATTGTCTTTGTCGAATTAACAGGTCATTAAAACATTTACATATAGCACATACAAAAACACTTACAGTAGGAATTGTTAAAATAATACAACTTTATAGATAAATCTACAAACAAAATATAACTTCCCCACATCCATGACAGCAGCCCCAAGTTAAAATGCGGAAGGAACTCTTAAAAAGAAGAAAAAAACCTGTATTGACAACTGCCATTATTTCAGTTTTTAGCCCCAAGGAAGACCTACAGCAGTTGAAACCTTTTTAAATGATTAACCAACAACAGCAATAAAACCTTTTTAATAATAAATGTTTTTGTTTTGAATTTAGCACCTGAAACATCTATGATTTACCAACAGATATACACATCATGCGTTATATTGTAGTGATACTGTGCATTGTTACATGTAAATTACCTGCTGTGTATCCCTCTCAGGCTCGGATCAAGTTTCCCATCGACTACCCGTACTCTCCACCTGCCTTCCGCTTCCTCACCAAGATGTGGCACCCCAACATCTATGAGGTGACTTATCACACACCCTGATTCTGTTTTACAATCAAATGTGATGCCATTTCATGTACTTGATCACTATATTTAACATCTCTCTGTTGATGAATGATGCATCTTATAATAAAATGAGTTTATTTCCTCTGATTTTAGAATGGAGATGTGTGTATTTCTATATTGCACCCTCCAGTGGATGACCCGCAGAGCGGAGAGTTGCCTTCAGAGAGGTGGAATCCCACCCAGAATGTCCGGTTAGTACCTCCCCCATTACCTCTTTTCAAATGTCTGTCCTTTCTGGGATCCTCCCTTCCTTGTCTTCTCTCAACCACTTCACTGATTGACCTGACTCATACCCTTAGCACATGACATTTGTCTTCAGTGGAGTCTCTTCCGACGTTGAATACATATCGTGTTATTAAACATTGTGTAATGTGATCTGTTTTTGGTCAGTGCATACGTTAGGTACCTCCCTTTTTATGTTGGTGTGTTGTGAAATATAAGTGGACTTACACAATGTGGAGGCATTACAACTCCATAAGTGCTTTATGGTGGATTTGTGTCCGCGCACTGTTCTTCCAAATAATGAATGAAGCAAAACAATTATAAAAAGCCTCTATCAGGAATTTCACCTTCACTGCCTAAAAGTAAACAATGTACAATAATGGAACCCCTACAATTCTTACTCAGTCAGAAAAAAGATCAATCCTTTATACATAATGCTATAATATTGGTTCAAATTACTACATCATTAATTTCTGGATGATGTATTTTTTTTACTCACATTTGTTTTCACTTCCAGGACAATTTTGCTGAGTGTGATCTCGCTGCTGAATGAACCCAACACCTTCTCTCCCGCTAATGTGGACGCCTCCGTCATGTACCGCAAATGGAGAGACAGCAAAGGCAAGGACAGAGAATATCAAGAGATCATCAGGTAAACAGACGTACCTTATTAACGTCATTCACAACGCTTTTATCACAAGAGCTGACTAAATTCCTTCCTTCTCTTCAAGTGTCAATCATCTTTACAGTATATATTATTTTACTTCCCGCTCAGGAAACAGGTATTGGCCACCAAGGCAGAAGCAGAGCGTGACGGTGTGAAGGTGCCCATCACGCTGGCCGAGTACTGCGTCCGCACACGCGTCCCGGCCCCCGACGAAGGCTCTGACCTCTTCTATGACTATTACTATGACGACGACGATGTGGAGGACGGAGACTGCTGCTACGACGAAGATGACTCGGGAAACGAGGAGTCGTGACGTGCTTTTTGGGCCGCATCCTCAATTTAGCTGACATACGCTACCCGTTTTTTCTGTCAGGGTTGCCAGAAATTCTCGGTCCACATTCAACCGAGAAAGATTTGAAGCTTCCCACTTCTAAACCAATGAAAAGAGCAGTTTTTCCTAAGCCTTTGAATTATTTTCTGAGGCGTAAATCGTTGCACCGTTGTGGAAGGGTCAGACCTGGTAGAATTTTGCACCAGCACAAAAGTCACCAAGTTCTTCAGATATTATGAATTTCCATTATCACCTAAAACCTTATTTTGAGAGAATATCACTTAATCCTATTGAGTTGTTCAGTCCCATGTATAATATAAAGTATTGTGGGGTTAATACCACTTTTCACAATAGCAACATTTGCACTGGTGCAACTGCAAACACTTCCAAACTTTGCTCAGCCTGTCACTTCTCTCGTATATCTTTATTTCCCTAATTGTAAGTGATGCTCAGCAGTAGTTGGTCTCAGTGACTGACAGAAGATTGAGGACTTCAAGCAGCATTTTTGTACCGAATGATCTACTGCAAATCCATAAAATAAAAAAAAGATATTTCTGAGTTTCCCAATCTTGTTGCGCTTCAATCCGAGGGGATGTCACAGAGCAATGTTTCTTGAGCATGCCAGAACATCATCAGAAGCTTTTTGTCCCTTTTACCTACGGGTTGTTTACCTACGTTACTATCCGTTATCAGCTTGGTGAAAAGAAATAGTCGAGTTGACTGAGATCCCACAGAACTCTGTATCTGGAGGACCGGCTGGCGTCAGTTGGTCAAATCCTGATGTGAACAGTTTTGGTAACAAGAAATTGATATTTTGCTGTGTTTCTCCTGGTTACTGTTGGATGTGTTTCTGTGTCATTTTGAGTGTGGGGTTATGTTATTTGAAGTAGCTCAGATTTAAAAGTCGTTAAGGGACGTTTTTCAGGGGGGGGGGGGGCAGAACTAATTACTGATCTGAATTGTATTTCTCTTCAGGTTTTCTCTCTAAGAGGCCCGAGGGAGCCAAAGACGTAAAGCAGTGTAAAAGAAATCCCAAAACATTTTCTGACTGTCTGTTGTATTCCTGTCTTTGCTCTCTTGCAGGCTTTGTTATTGTAGTCTCTTTACTTTGTTTAGACATTATCGCTGCAAAACCTTTGCTTGAGATTTATTTATGTGATGAAATTATTAGGTTTGATTGGCAAAAAAAGCATATGTAGGAAATGTGTTTGTCAAAAGCTGTTGTTGCAGTATCATTCACATTTCAATATGCTTTTCACCCCCGGAAGTGTACTGTAAGAGCAAAAAGGCTGCCGTGTTTTATTATTATTTCTATTCTTTGTTTCAGCTGAGAGTAGTTTTGATATGATATTTAGAGTGCATGGGTCTCTGTGTATTTTTTCATCAGCAATATTGATTGTTTAATTTACATAAAGTTCATACTGAATTTCTCAGGATAGTGAATTACATATAAAAAAAACTATACAATTTCCCTCTTTTAGGTGGTCTTCAGATTTGGTTTAAAGCTTCAGCAGGAACCATAACTGTTATGCACATGTAGCTGTATAGGTGAACACTGTATTGTTTTATTCACCTGTGTTTATTTTTTATTTTCGGCTATTTAAAACTGAAAAATAAAGATTTATTGGGGGAAATGTGCTTATTTATTGCTTTATTTGGATTAGTTGTAGCCTACTTCTAACATTAACTCTCTTAAAGGTCCCATGTCATGCTTTTCCGGTTATTACCCGTCCCCTTGT